GGCAACAATCTAATGGTTTATTATTCCGATAAATCATATAGCTTCAGGCTGACAAAACTGCAGACACTCCACATGGAACATGGATTCTTTCACTGAAATATAAGCCTAGAGTTCCACTGTGTGCACGAACACAAGAAGCTGCTATTATATCACTTTATGTCTCTGGGTTTTATAAATAACCCAGTGTCAGCACTGTAAGATAGGGATGTCCGGGGGAGAATCTGGACTAAACTGAGGTTTGTCAGCACTGACACTGGTCAGATATTACTCATCTGACTGGTTAAAGTCATGGCTTAGCAGGTGGATGTGTGTGTGTGTGTGTGTGTGTGTGTGTGTGTGTGTGTGTGTGTGTGTGTGTGTGAATGGAAAAAAATCCAAAAGTTCCAAACAGCCAGTAAATGATCCACAGCATAGGTAAATGCTACTGTTGTGGTAACTGTTGCCACGAGCTGAATATTTCTTACTCTTCTCTTCTATTGATTTATTAGTTCAGGTTTGAAAATAAACACAAGTGGTAGTCAAGGTGGGGGCTTTCATCAGGGTACAACCCACCCCCTGAACTGCCCCGTTTCATGATGAGTCAGACTATCCCTTCTGGAACCTTCTTTCAGCACGTTGACCAGGGCCATCACGCTCATTAAGTTTAACCAGTCTGTGTCGTTCTGCTTAGAGAAAAAGAGGGAACATGTGCAATCTCCAGAGAAAACCACAGAAATGAGGGACAGTGCAGTGCCCAAGCTGAATTTCATTAAAATGTAGTCTATGAAGAGCGGGGATGCTTGGCTTAGTGTTAATTCTAGAGAGAGGAGCAGGCATCGTCACGAAGTTTTAACATTATATACATACACTGATCAGGCATAACATTGTGACCACCTCCTTGTTTCTACGCTCATTGTCCATTTTATCAGCTCCACTTACTATATAGGTGCACTTTGTAGTTCTACAGTTACAGACTGTAGTCCATCTGTTTCTCTGATACTTTGTTAGCCCCCTTTTACCCTGTTCTTCAGTGGTCAGGACCCCCATGGACCCTCACAGAGCAGGTACTGTTTGGGTGGTGGATCATTCTCAGCACTGCAGTAACACTGATGTGGTTGTGGTGTGTTAGTGTGTGTTGCGCTGGTCTGAGTGGATCAGACACAGCAGTGCTGCTGGAGTTTATAAACACCTCAGTGTCACTGCTGGACTGAGAATAGTCCACCAACCAGAAATATCCAGCCAACAGCGTCCTGTGGGCAGCGTCCTGTGACCACTGATGAAGGACTAGAGGATGACCAACACAAACTGTGCAGCAGCAGATGAGCTATCGTCTCTGACTTTACATCTACAAGGTGGACTGACAAGGTAGGAGTGTCTAATAGAGTGGACAGTGAGTGGACACAGTGTTTAAAAACTCCAGCAGCACTGCTGTGTCTGATCCACTCAGATTAGCACAACACACACTAACACTAGTAACTAGTGTTACTGCAGTGCTGAGAATGATCCACCACTCAAATAGTACCTGCTCTGTGAGACGATTTGATCTACTCATCAGAATCATTTGAACACACACTGCATCATTCAAAAAGGAGGTACAAATGAACTTTTAGGACTGAATGAACTGTGGTCTGAAATGTTCAACTGAACCCCATCAACAAATGAAACTGGTGAGCTGGCACAAAAATGAGCTCATCATTAAGAGAGTCTTACTTTGTTGTGACCTGAATGGCTGTCACAGGGGGATGAAGCCCTTAGTCCAAGACTGGCATAAGAAAAGCCAGACTGAAGTTTGCAGGTGATCACTAGGACAAAGACCCAGCCTTTTGGGTTCTTCTCCAGTCAGATGAAACAAAAATGTAACTGTTTTGCCACAACAATCAGCTTTTTGTATAGAGGAAAAAGGGGGAAGCCTTTTAATGCAAGGAACACTCTCCCAACTGTGACATAAGTTGTGGGGGTTTTGCTTGAAAAGGGACTGGTGCACTTCAGAAAACAGATGGCATCATGAGGAAGTAGGATTATCTAGAGAATCTGAAACAACACCTCAAGACATCAGCCAGAAAGTTAAAGCGTGGTCACAACTAGGCCTTCCATCAGGACAGTAATCCTAAGCATTCGTCCAAATGTCACAAAATGGACCAAAAAAAAAAAACAAAAGGTGAAAGTACTTAAATGGCTGACGTGAGTCCCTTAGAACAGCGGTGTCAAACTCAACCAATGAAAGGGCCACATTAAAAAATCTCATCAAATCTTTAATGAATGTTGTGTTGTAACCCAAACTGGCCATTGATTATTCAAAACATGCAAAAAGTTCAACAGTAAAATACAGACACTTGTAGTAGACCTTGAAATATTACATGAATACTTGAAATATTCCCAATATTCGCAGTCTTTTAAACCTACCTATCTGCTTGAACTAGACACCTGGCATCCTTTCTTTGCTGCAGGTTTATTAAGACTTGGGCTCACTTTCTGAGCTGCTGAGCTGACGTTCGGTGTTTTTGTTGGTTAAACTGCAGCTGAAATGCATTTTTGTGATATGAATGGTGTGGAATTGTGTAGAATTGAGGTGTAACTGCTGTCCCATAGACTGTTGTTGGTGAAGGAGAGTCAGAGCACATTACGTTGCAATGCATGCTGGGGACTGTAGTGCAGCACATTGTGAAAAGGGCTAATATTAATAGAACATTAAAATACTTTTGTGGGCCGGATAGGATTGTGTCGCAGACCTGATCTGGCCAGCAGGCCTTGTGTTTGTATAGAAAAAGCATGAGTTGAGCAAGGAGGCCCACAAACCCATTTAATTACTCCAGGTCCGTCAGGAGGAAATGGGCAGAAATTGTCAAAAATGATTGCGAGAAGCTCATCAAAGGCAACCCGAAGTGTTTTGATTCAAGTTAAGCAATTAAAGGGCAATGCCACCAAATACTAACAAACTCAACTTCTGACCCAGTGAAAATCTGATATAGTGAATAAAATCTGAAATAAATCTGTCTCTAAGCTTTTATTTTGAAATTACCTCTTTTGGAAATATAGTATATTATGGACTTACTATCCCCTTATTTAGCACAGCAAATATATGGTAAACGGAAATGTGTGGAGTTCTGGAAAAATCGCATTTGAATGTCTTTAGCATAGGTAACCTTTTGGCTATACACACCTATACACTATCATAATTAGTGATGAGTTTCATTTTTACATTTTTTAAGTCAGAGGGAAAAAAAACCCATAGTGATTATAAAAAAATTCAAAAGTACACTATATGTCCAAAACACTGTAGATACTTGCTTTTCCAACATTTCTTCTGACGTCAACAGCACTTAATTTCTCTGCTCTTATGGGAAGGCATTACATGAGGTGTCTGAAAATTGCTATGAGGGCTTCATCCCAAAGTATTCAGTGGTGATGCATTAATGCTCAACAGTCCAACGCTGGAGAGTTTTATGTCCCTCTTGTCGATGCTTGGCATTGGACATGGTGACAGGCTCATGTACGGCTGCACCAGAGCATCTCATTCTATTGGCAGTGCTTTTCTATACAAGCTGTTGTTGGAGAGCTGCTGAGTGAGAGTAACTGAGACACTTTAAAGTAGTTTTTTTAAATGTTATATGGTTAAAATTGGGGAGAATATACCACTGAATATTTTTTGTGCATTTCATTTAAATGATTTATTTTCTCTGTGCTTGAAAGTCACTTTAATTAGGCAGCAAATGTTATGGCATTCCATGTGTATTGTTTTAGCTGAGACTTTAAGCTTACATTTGATGATAGTTGGTCTCCCTGCAAACTGAGACAATAGTTATCATTTATTTACTTTATAAATCAACATAGAACATCGGTCAAAAGCCCTACTGCTAACAATAATGTATTGTAATTTAAAGGATTATCTTATTTAAAGGATTATCTATCTTGTCTATTGTGGTACATGCCGTCCTTGTCAAGGGCCCCTACTTACTGGGTCTTGGTAAGTAAATGGCGCCCTCTGCTGAATATTTAGCAAACATATCCAGTTTCTTCTTCAAAAAATCCACTTACAAGTACAGTAATGTCCAAAAGCTTCAAATCACTTGTCATGTTAATAATTGTCATTCAGTGACAAAATTAGACTGATGTGCTATTAACTAGACAGCAAAATGTGAACCAATGGTTTATTCACAATGTAAATGATTTTGGAAAGAATGCAAAGTTATGACATGATATGTATAAATAGATAAATAAACGTTATTAGAAATATAAATTATAATATCTTGTCACAAAATTACTGAGCTACACTATATGGCCAATAGTATGTGGACACCTGACCCTCACACCTATATGAGCTTACTGGGACAAGCCATTCCAAGACCGTGAGCATTAATATGCCCCCCAACGCTTGGCATTGCGCATACTGAACTGATGTTGCTTCCAGAGGAAGTTTAGAACTTTAGAGTCAGTGATGCAACAGAGAATATGCGATTTTCATGCGCTGCACACTTCAGCACTTGTTGGCCTGTCTCTGTGAGTTTGTGTCCACTGCTTTGGGCTGAGCTGTTGTTGCTTCTAGATGCTTCTATTTCATAATAACAGCACTTACAGTTCATCCAGAAGGCATCTGTCTCTTGTAGTTTGTCACTTACAGTTGACAGGAGGAGTGTTCACATAATTTTGGCCATATAGTGTATATGATCAGCGAGATCTGGTCACTGCTTTTTGTACATAAGGCTTCAGGATGTTAATTTTATCTGATGCTGTACAGCTTTCTCAATTATTTATCAATGAATAGTTTTAGAATCTACAGCTGTGTTTATCCTACAGAATATTAGCATTGCATTATAATCATTTTATACACATATCTGCCACAAAATTGTTTTTATCGTATTCGTATCGTACAGTATTGTAACTGCTGAGTACATTGAGTGACCCTGCAAATAAGGTTGCACTGCTTTTTTCATTTGAATTGGAGCAGGTTACTCTAATTAGGACAGAAATATTTTGACATCATAGTTTAATTATGTAAAGAACCACACCTTGTCTTGCTTTCATATAATTCAATTCATTTACTCAGTACAGGTGCTGACATCATTGTGTTACATGTACATGTTCCCAGCATTGTTTTGTAATATGTGCACTAATGTTATGGCTCAAAAACAGTATTTCCTCTCTTCAAAATGCAGTATGACAGAACATGTGATAAGCTATTGTTTGCTTTTCACTCAAAGTCAGTGGACTGTGATTAAAGACATAAGGATACAGTCAATATTTTGATATCATTTTCTATAAGAAAGCATTTCTATCTCTAATAAGAACATGCTATGTCAGAGAAAAAAAACAGACCATGTTCTCAACACGCACTGTTCCACTCATATCCTTGTTCCTGCCACATCAACAGTGCAATAAACAGTACAATAATTTACCTATGATTCCACAGAACTTATCTCCTCAGAGAATAAGTGAGTCTTTGTTATCATCTGTTAATATTTCACAAACAATCATATTTTATTGTAATCAATGATTCCTTTTGCTCCTCTCACACCCTTTCTGGCATGCAACAAGTGATGCATTCAAGATCTGTCACATTTAAAAACGGTCTTCTGGCCAACAAAGGGCTCCCTATCCTACATCTTTCTTGTATTTTATATTTTACCGTTTTTATGTACCAAGTCCAGTCATGACTCATTTTTACATGACCATTTTCCATTAGTCAGGCTGGTTTTATTACTGAGGCTATGTAAAAATGTCATTGCTCAATTCTGATTTTTTTGCTGAGATCCAATCTTGACGGTTCACATTTGTGTAAATGTAAATCTCAAATTTGTCCTGAAACGACCCAAATGCACTCGTCCTGATCAATAATGTCACAGGAATGAACCACGTGCGTCATGAACAACAATAAAACTAACTAGGGTCAGACGCATTACATTTGCAGCGTTTACTGGCACTAACTTCACATTTGGTGCTGCTGCCACATCAACAGTGAATGATGGTGCACGCACATTCAAAAAATAACACATTTTATAATAACACAAACTGACCGCTCTCATTAAGGTCATGTTTCTGATAAAGGACTGCATATAAAACTGGCTCAGATCTGGTTGGAAATCACCTGATTCGTGTGTCCACACAGCTCAGAAATCATTAGATGTGTGTCACATTAAGGCAGAAAAACTGGGTTTTTGCCAGCCTGGAAGTGCAAGCGCAGCCTAAGACTGATGCATGTAAATGGCCTCTGTTCTGATTGGTGCCCATGTGTTACGCCTCAACAAAAAAGCAGTCTGGCGCTGAAACACTCTTTATAACTTCAGCATGAAAGGGCGGAGCGAAACTGCTGTAGGCTCAATAGCTGGATATATGTAAATGAGTTTTTGTGACATCAGAAAAACTATACTTTTAAAATGGGTTGTTATGAAGCTTAGTTTTTTATGTATGGCCTGGGAAGTTTTGAATAGTTAAATGTTTACACACTATATTAATTACACTGCTTTAGTTGGCAGGGATTCCATCCATGTCTTTTACTCTTTATTCAACCACTGTTAATTATGAGTGCATCTCTTTGATGGAATATAGAGAACCTAGATATGCAGCTACGCATCGTATCATTCACCTGTAGATAAATGAGAACCGTAAAGGCTGTGTGCTTCTGTGAGTACAAGAGTAAACGTTTTTGTCTTCTCATCTGCTCAGAGGCACGTGTGGACAGCTGGCATGGAGAGGCCACTGGTCATCTCTGTTGACATGTCTGCAGCCTGCCCATGTGTGTAGAGCTGGGTGCCTGTCTGTGTGGAGAGTAGGGGAACACCAGGCAGAGCTACTGGAGGGAGAGAGAGAGGAACGTGAGTTTGGCATTACATAAATAAGCCTGACACTCCTCACAAGGGCTAATGCTCAAAATCTTGAGAGGACAATCAGGGGAAAAAAGGAGACAACAATAATATTGCTCAGAGTGGTGCAAACTCTAATGATGGAAGACAGACATCAACATTCTGCCCTGGTCAGCTTGTCTCTGTGTTTATGTGTGTGTAGGTTTGTTTTCACAAACTTTCAGGACATGCAGTGCTGTGCAAAGATCAGAGACCACCCTTCATTTAATTCCCAGTCCTTTCTACAGTATCCAGTCAAAATGGTCGTTGAGTTCAGAAAATATTTCTGAGGAGATTAGAGACATAAGATAACCCACTTGCATAAGGAAGGGGCATGTCAAAGAAACTAAGTGAAAAAAGGGAGTTTCCGAAACTTCTTTAAACAATTATTAAAGATGATAAAGGAAATGAGACTCTTGGCAACTGTGCGAGACCTCATAGACCACCAAATCTCACTATGAGATAAATACCTAAAGCTTTCGTCTTTGAGAAGAAAAAATCGAGCTCCACTCTTGCTTTAGATCTGAAAAAAATCAGAAATGGCTTTAACTAAGATTAAGATTAGATTAAGTGACCCTTATTAGTCCCACAATGGGGAAATTTCACCTCCGCAATCTAACCCATCCATGCAGTGAAACACCACATACACACTAGTGAAGACACACACTAGGGGGCAGTGAGCACACTTGCCCGGAGTGGTGGGCAGCCCTCTCCGCAGCGCCCAGGGAGCAGTTGGGAGCTCACAATTCCTAAACGGTTAATGCAATATTTTTGCATTACCCTTGAATTAAAGCTGAAAATCTACATTTCAATCACATCTTGACTGCTTCATTTCAAATCCATTGTGGTGGTGTACAGAGGCAAAATTACAAAAATTAGGTCACTGGCCAAATACTTACGGAACTGATTGTATGTTTTCTGCTCTTTTCCTGACAACTTACTTAACGGCCATTTCAACTGGAGATTAAGCTGTACATGTCCTGCCTTTGCAGGAAAATAAAAAACAGGGTTGACTTGTTTTGTCTGGACCAGCAAATTGGTCCTGACCTCATAAAGTGCTTTTTATAGGGTCCATTTAGTAAAACTTAAAGGGCACTTTTTGGTTACTGAGGTTAAGGTTAGGTAGTTACATATGTTCGGGATGTGTCCTGAGATTGTAAAAAACAAGCCTATGTTGTGTGTATGTGTACTAGGGCCCGACTGATATACTGTCACATACTGACATCTCACATCTCACCAGTTACTGGTATCCAATTATGCCTTCAAGCATCAGTAATTAGTGACTCCGCTTATAAATAGATATATATAGGCTTCTGAAGTGACAGTGACCATTAGATCAGTTGTATTACAGTAAATCTAAACACAAAACACTATCATGGTTAAAATAACAAAACATGTTACTTGCATTCAAACCTGGCATGAGGATAATGTCAAAAATACTATACATAATTTTACTATGAAGGAAACTGTTGAGAAAAATAAGAAAAATAAGATGAGAGGAGATGTGTTCGATACAGTGTAGACAACCACATTAGCAACTAAACCTGTCGAACACTAGCGAGACTGACTACTTTCTTTGTTACTGTTATTAGTTTAAAATTAAAACATTAAATAAAAATAAAAAATACTAATTATACTGACTCATATTGTTTATTAAAAATTTTTATCCCCCTAAAAAACAGTATCAGCCACGAAATGTTCATATCAGTCAAGCCCTAGCGTGTGCAGTGTTCTAGTATTCCAGGCAGTGAAAACAAACTGTATTAGTAGCCCTTAAATATCCCTCTTGAACATTTTGTACATTTCAGTTTGAACCGTTCCTTATATTGACTACTCACAGGATGGTACAGGGAGGATAACTGATGTGAAGTTAGGTAATGAGATGTGGTCCGGTTGGAGGTTCCTGGGCAGGGCTGGGTCTGCAGGTGGGCTAAAAATTAGCACTTCCGAATTTGACCCTGTGGTGGATCAGACAGGGGAAAAGACAAGTCCAGATTTACCATCCATCCTCTACATCTTCATATTCAGCCAGCCACTCAACTCCCTCAGTGGATGAACTCTGGCTCTGAAGAATTAACTTAAACCAGTGTGCTTATAGAGACAGAGTCTGACTGTGCACTGAGAGTCACAGAGAGAATATCTGGACTAGGAGTCCAATACAGCAGACGTGAGAGAAATGAAATGAAATTTAGGTTAAACTTTGTACCCCTAAAAGGCAAAATCAGGGTTTGATAAAGTAGTTTTGGCTTACCAAATGGCACATTCTGCTTGAATATGCAAACATATCAGTAGCAAAATGAAAATGAAAATGTAATATGTAAAATGGCAATGTACTACTATAGTTGAATTTAAATTTCCCAGCCTGAGGAGACAGGAAATCATTCGATTCGTTGGATTAAACATTCTGCTTGGGTCATTTATGATGACACAGTGAGCATTACAAATGGATGTATTGCTCTACTTTACCTCATCTGCTAATGTAAGTCAAGCTATAAACCCTTAGAGTTTATAGCTTAGCTGTAGTCCCGACCAGATGGATCGACTAACAGGTGTAAATTTGTGAAATGAAAATACTATCGGCTTAGAGTGCATTTTTTTAAAACTATTTTGGTACAGGACAAGTGCTGTAGGCTAAGAATATGTAATTGCAAAGGTGCTGTTTCCCTTTGTACAATTAAATTTAGCCATCTTTTTAGCTTGGTGTTTGCTCTGATCATGCAATGTGAAATGTCTTATTAGGGAACACAAATGCACATAAGATAAATGACATTTTAATTACCATTTTGACACAAATTTTTCATATTCACATGAAGTATGACTGCAATTCTAGTTTAAATAAAACCACTATTAACTGTCTAAATCTCTGTGTAAAAGGAATGTCAACACTACAGGCAGATTCACTTGAAAGAGGCCCCGAATATTCTGTAATAACTCTCGCTAGGACAAAGCAGTCTGACCGAAACAATGTGCAATGAGCTCTTCAGTATATGGAGCTTTGAACAAGCTGGGATGCCCCTGTGTCGGAGCGATGAGGTAGGCGCCGGACAGCCGTCATAACGTTTAACATCCGTTTGCAACCTTCTGGGTGCAGACCCCCCCTACCTCTTCATGTGTCTTGCAGAAAACGGAGATCACTTCCAGCATCGCATGTAATGCAATTGATTACACAAACATCAAGAAATGTAGCATATTTTGTATTTTTTGGTTCACACTGCTTCATCCTAACGGGAGTTACACCAGAATATTCGGGCCTCTTTTGAGGGAATCTCCCTGTAGTATACCAGATGGCAAATTAAAATGGTAAAACTAAATTTGAATTGTCATTTTGAGCCTCAATACTGCATATATGAGCAGGAAATTTAAAGTCTAATACATCGGCATTTTACACATTACATTTTAATTTTAATTTTGCTATTGATATGCCTCTATACTGTGATGCTTTTATTTTATTAAATCAATAAATGTCTGATGTTTCAAATCAAGAAACATCAGTTTCTTAGGTTAACAAAATTCGAATCTCATCTATTTACTTTAGCATTTAATCACCATTCGATTTATTTTAGAAATATGGTTCTTAGCATTTACCGCTCCTTCCATTCGGACTTACCTGCGAATTTTAGGAATACCACACGTTTCCAAAGCCCTCTTTCAGTGTTTTGGAAAGGTCAATGGCAGGGCTTTGAAACTGCTTATTTTTGTTTTAACTGCATATTTGAAGACTGTTCACACTGGTCCTAAATGGTCACAAAGGTCTAAACTGACCTTGGAACAACGGCAGATGCTAAACATATGCACGAACATCTGGTACCTGCAGAGGCTGTAGCTGACTCTGACTCGCTTCTCCTTGCTGCGCCCTCTCCCAGTATCATCTCCTGCAGCAGGCTGTCCACATTGGCCTCTCCTAACAGTCGGGCCAGCTGGAGCTGTTCCACCATCTGCCAGGCCATGCTCTGTAAAGGAGGCAGCAGCAGCAGCAGCTCCCCGAAGCGGCCCCGTTGCTCACAGGTCGCCTCATCCAGCAGGACCTGGGCCTGGAAGCGTAGCCTGCGCACCATCTGAGAGCTCTCCAGCCCAGGGCAGTCTGGTGGAACCCAAAATACAATAGCTTTAAATAGTTCGAGGGACAGGTGCTGCAAAAACATGCAGAGGAACCAATGCTAAGCGTTATCTGAAAGACTGACCATGACTGAATTTGTGTGTTAAACGTTTAGGGCCTAAAATGGGTGGTGGAGGATAACGCCCGGCCTCAGTGTGTGTTTGCTAAAGCTGTTCTTTCGGTCAGAACTTGACAGTCCTCAACCAGTTTGGCTGGACTTTCTTAGCTGACCTGGCTCTGCTATTATAATCAGCCTCTCTTGCCAAAAGGCAATAAAGCTCAGAACTCGCCTATCCTTGCCAGGACCTTCCCAGATATTAATAGTTTTCCACAGAACACAGTGAAACCAGGGTGTTCAGACTAGCTTACATGTGCCAAGAACAAAGACCAAAGCTTCTGGCAAAGCCATTTCTTTGGAAAAGCAGGAAGGTGAAGTAATGGGCACACGGTACTGACCCTTGACTGACCTGGTGAAAAGAAGATGATGGCCTTGAGACAGGCGAATTCTGCGTCGGTGATGTCCAGCTCTTTCAGAGGCCTGACCAGCTCGTCCAGTACACGTGCCGCCAGCTTGGACATCTCTCGCTCTGGGCCACTCACAGGGATAATGAAATCATTTCCTGAGAGGATAAATTATAGCTGTAATCCCTGCCCACAATGTGACATGCTTTCAAGATAAACAGGAAACCGTGCTTACCCAGCAAAATGATGTCACTGTAGGGCAGCGAGCGACGAGCCCCTCCTAGGATGAGATGCTCGGCAGAGTGAGCTCGTAACAGGCTTACCTGCACGCAGACGCAGCACAGACAGTGCACACATTCAGATATGTATACAGAGTCAAGCTCTAGGTGCCTGTCACGTGTAGCCGAACAGCCAAATCACAGGAGACTGATTATAAAACTGCTCATCATTAAATGTTGAGCCTTGCGGACCCAAGTGAAAAGACTCAGCATGTGGTCAAATAAGCAAAAACACGGCTTACCCTGTCGTCCACTGGCAGATCACAGAACTCGGGGATGCGTTTTGCCCATTCCACCAGGAGGAGGAGCTGCTGCTTCATGGATTCGCACACGTCGCCTGGGCGAGCTATCTTCTTGGTGCTAATGTCACACATCGGGGGAGTCAAGGAGGTGTACTGCAGATTTAGGCCAGAGACAGTGGGATGAATGCTACTGTGGCTGAGCAGCACAGCGATGTGGTCTCAGACAGGCAGTTTAAACGATTGCAGTGCGTTATAGGGGAATGCCACCGATTTTTCAAAATTGCATAGTTAAACTATTAAGTTGTACATATTCAGAGTGGTTTGATGTGAAAAAACTCCATCCTAGATAAACAAGTCAGAATTGTTCACAGCGATGATGATAGGAGCCAGATGTTTGAAGCATTGAACATCTCTAAAAGCTACCTCACAGAAAGTAATCAAAGGGCTCACATCATAGAAAACTGGATTTTCCTCACTGTTTTGAAATAAAACAGTTTGACATGGCATATAAACAGAGCACTTACTCCCCAGTCCATACAGCCCATCTATGGAAACTAAGCTACAAAAACAAGTTTTGAATTCACTTCATTCATTTTTGTGATGTCACGCAAACTGTCACATTTACATATACACACCTATTCAGCCTACAGTAGTTCACGCTGAAGTTATAAAAAGTGTTTCAACCTGCACTGGATTGCAATTTAAATGAGACACAATACATGGCAGCCAATCAGAAAAGAGCTCGTTCACATATACTGGTCTTAAAGATACACCAACAAAAACCCAAACGTTGTCAACTTCAGAAGAATTAATGTAAAATATTCGTCAACTATGCAGATATAATGAGTACACGTTTACAAAAAAGGTGACTGTAGTGCAGATCCACAAGGTGCAGTATGTTGTCACTTAAAAATGATGTATTAGGAGCAAAACTAATTGTGAGATCTATCGATAATTTTAGCTCTGCTGTTCATAATAGTGAAATTCCTGGTCTTGGTCTTTTTAGTGTTAGCAAATAAAAAGGTAGAGATTTACTTAAGACTTTTTAGTTCTACTTCAGATGCAAATTATTCATGCAAATGTGCATCAGTGATGAACACAGTGAAGTTATAAGGACCGTTTCAGCCTGGGCTCCTTTTGGAACAAGACGCACTATACAGAATCAACCAGAGCAGCTCATTTACATACATCAGTCTTAAAAGCAAAGCAACAAAAACAGCCAGTTTTATTCTAAGCGATAAAGAGAGGAAAATGGTCATGTAAAACTTTTTTTGGCACATAAAACCACACAATCCTCTCAACCCTTGTGTGGTGTTCAGGTCTGTGGGACCCATTTTCAATGTTTACCAAAAGAAAAAAATGATGTGATTTATTATTATTTTAGCCTCAGATTTTTGGCCTTTGCTCATTTTCTGTGAAGAACATATAAAATAACCCATTTTCAGTGTCTTCACTCTGTTCACCCCCCACACATTTATATTACACATGTGGTGTTGGGCTGAACCCGTGGGGAGTAAAATGTGGAGGTGCTGTGTCCTTCACTCTGTTCTCCTCCTACATGGCCTGCTGTTAGTGTGTGTGTGTGTGTGTGTGTGTGTGTGTGTGTTTGTATATATATGTGTGTGTGTTTGTGTGAGGGTGGACAACATGGACAGGCTGCTGACTGGCTACAGCTGCTAAAGGAGAACTCTGCACTGGACACTTCTGATATTTTAAACGACTGGTATTTTTACATAAATTATTATGGCTGTATTGATTTAAAAACAATAATGCAGTGGGTCCACCAGACCACTGAGTAATAAACACATCAACACCACACAAGGGTTAAGTGGAACTTAGGGAACAAAAAAAATTAAAAGACAAAAAGTATAATGTAGGATAGGGACCCTTTAAATGAAACGGTAACAAATACATTACATGATGCATGAGACACTGTTTTAAGTAAGGTTCAGGTAAGATTCTGCCACTCAAATGTACTTTTTACAGTATATATTTTTGTGTAAGAAAAGGATTATGTTAAGAGTGGGTTCACTGCTTGTTTTCGATAGCAAATAATATGGCAATATTTGATGCAGACATCACCACCCCTGGTTCCCAGCACCACCACTGTAAAGAAATCTGAGTTGGTCAGTTTCTCTACAACACACTATTTCACATCAAACCACTCTGAATGTCTTTGTTTACATCTTAGCCGTTGAATTACGCAAAAAAAAAATTAAAAATGTCTCTTTAATGGAGATGCACAACGACGCTAGATTAGGAACAAGTCTGAGTGATTTGTAGATGAGAAATAACTATGGACAGGCCATCTCATGGTCCTCTATGGTCTCTCTAACAAAATCTGTTAGACTTAGATCAGACCTTGCTGTGTGCTGCTCACATGAAAGGCAAGCATGTGGATTAGACCCCAACGGAAAACATCCCAGGTTCATTTTGTGCCTCATTAGTCAATCATCCAATTAGTTCTCTGTGTGCTCCTTTGGCATGCCATGTGGATGCGTCGTTGTTATCACGCTTTGGGAGGGGGGACTCTCTGAATTCTGGCACCAGTTCCAAGCTCATGCACTTCAATTAAATAGGCTGTGATCAAATTGAGTCCTGAGGCAATTCCACCATTCACAGAGGTAACCAAAGGCAAAGGACTGATCTTGTTGTCTCTAAGGATTGCCTTAATGGCTGCTTCTCTTCAAGCTCTTAAAGCATATTCTAGTCTTTCCCAGATCGCTTCAACAGCGACTTTTCTTGCGTTTTAGTAAAAGGAGAGCCTAGTCACCGATTCTCTTTTGTGGTTTTCACTCACAGAGCCTGGGCCTACCTGATGTGTGCTGGCCTCTGCTTTCAGAAGGATGCTGATGGTCAGAGTTCCAACTCCTTGGCTTTCTCTACGGCAGCTAATTCGGTCTCGTTCATTTTGCACAGCTGTGGCAAACCAATAAACAAGAGCCACATTAATGCCACATCTTGAAAATTTCACACATCTGTGGATGAAGATATGTTTTTCAAAAAAAGTTCACAGACACAATGAATACGTGGCAAAAGACTTTATACTTCATTTTAAATCTCAGACATCTACAGTTTTGATTTGTCCTTTTTTGGTGTACTATTCAGTGTGATTATGTTGATTACACAATGAATTATGCAGCTAGTTACATAATTATTAAATTCCCATTCAATTTGCATTCTGTATTGACAAATTTGAGTCATTTTTCTTCAGTGTTGATGTCAAACAATGGCAAAAACAGAAAGTGGCTTTCTTTGTACAAGACTGTATGCACAACAATAACTTGTAATCAAACTGGAATCCTAATATAATACTGACTATTTATTTATTTATTCATTTATTTATTTTTGTGATTAAAAACACAGACAAACACCCCTCCTGAGCCCAAACTCACAAGACTCACAAAAACTGCTCATAGATACAACACACGACGCATGAAAATCGAGTTACATCATTCACAACTTAAACACATCATATAGTTAAGCGAGCACAAGGGTCCTGACTTTAGATAATCATGTGAATCCATGTATCAAGAGATCTAGGGGCAGCATTGCTAATTCTTGCAGATGACAGTTCCAGATATAATATATTCAGCCAGTGCCATATGGACAGGGGGTATCCAATGCTGGACGATACATTTTTGCTGCCAATAAGCCATCCATCCATATTTTCCAGGAACTTTCCATAATGGGGAATTAAGTAAATTAAGTTCAGGGTCCATGGGGAAGTGTGTCTTGGTCAGAGAAGAGATGGGATCAACAACCTCCTCCCAAAAAGCATAAACTTTTGGGCAGTCCCACATAATGTGTATAAAAGTTCCCCAGAGTGCCATGTTGACAGAAAGTACACAAGGGGAGAGGGCTTAAGCCCTATCAAGTGTCTTACCCTGGGTGTCAGATAAGGCCTGTGGCATATTTTTAGATGGGCGAATTGATGATTGGGGTTATGTGACGCCCTAAAAACATTAGCCCAAGCCGTTTCCCAGTTTACCTGGCTTCCCCTCTGTTCCATAACTCTATCCCGTTCCTTTTACCCAGAAATATTTACAGATACGTGTGACATAAACTTGGCATAGATAAAAGATGCTATTCTTTTGGGAGCCTCTGTGATCCAACTAATTATTTGACGGTCTTTCAAGTCTGAGCCCCATTTAACATTGTGATTTCAATGCGGATCTAAGTCTAAAATAAAAGAATAAAGTAGTATGATTACATTTAGAAGCCAGACCTCAAACTGAATTATCCACTTGTTTCTATTAGCTATGAGTGAGAAACAGTACAACATGCTTTTGTGGTTTTGCTATTGTGACGTCTAAGGGGTTAAATCTTAGTTATTATAGCCTCCTACCAAAGCAACCTGGGGAGAATGGCTGCATTGTTGAGATGGAGCGAAATTTTTTTGTTCTAATGAAGATTTTTGGCCCTGCTTTATTATTATTAGTTGTGTGATACAAATTAGTCCAGTGTTGTTCTTTTCAGTCCCCACAAATTCAACCAACAAGGACTTGTCTGAGAGCAATTAGTCATAAGAACTGTTCTTTCATCATCCAGTCAGGTTTCTACTACTCCAAAGAGACAGACAGAAAGAGAAAGAGAGGATTACTCTTTGGGGGCATTTTTGGTGTCAAGAATACTGTTTCGACCTAGACTATAACGGTTTTTTGGAAGGCTGTGAAAATAACTTAATAATTGCAATACTGCACTGCCAAATCTGTAACAAAGGCTGACTTATGATGTGACTTATAATGATGGTTTCTACAGTCCTTGTCGGTTTTTTCTCAGTAAAGTCTAGTGTAAAATTCCTTGACCTATGTGTGCATCTTTGGAATCTGCTATGGTGCTTATACACCGATCAGGCATAACATTATGACCACCTCCTTGTTTCTACGCTCATTGTCCATTTTATCAGCTCCACTTACTACATAGGTGCACTTTGTAGTTCTACAGTTACAGACTGTAGTCCATCTGTTTCTCTGCTACTTTGTTAGCCCCCTTTTACCCTGTTCTTCAGTGGTCAGGACCCCCATGGACCCTCACAGAGCAGGTACTATTTGGGTGGTGGATCATTCTCAGCACTGCAGTAACACTGACATGGTGGTGGTGTGTTAGTGTGTGTTGTGCAGGTCTGAGTGGATCAGACACAGCAGTGCTGCTGGAGTATTTAAACACCTCAGTGTCACTGCTGGACTGAGAATAGTCCACCAACCAAAATATCCAGCCAACAGCGTCCTGTGGGCAGCGTCCTGTGACCACTGATGAAAGACTAGAGGATGAACAACACAAACTGTGCAGCAGCAGATGAGCTATCGTCTCTGACTTTACATCTACAAGGTGGACTGACAAGGTAGGAGTGTCTAATAGAGTGGACAGTGAGTGGACACTGAGGTGTTTAAAAACTCCAGCAGCACTGCTGTGTCTGATCCACTCAGACCAGCACAACACGCCACCACCACAACAGATGGACTACAGTCTGTAACTGTAGAACTACAAAGTGCACCTATATAGTAAGTGGAGCTGATAAAATGGACAACGGGCGTAGAAACAAGGAGGTGTTATGCCTGATCAGTGTAGTTTGTTTAGTACTGGGGACACAGCTGGAGCTGATACTATAAGTATCTGTAGACAGTAAGCATCGCAGTGAGTCATAATTCTGTAGGTGAATAAGATGAATTGAGAAACACTTTATGGAGTTACAACATTTAATTTGTAAACATAAAAAAATAGTGCAAGTCTGTTGGCTATATTACTAGCCGTCAAGCTCAGCTTTCAACAGCACTAGCTAAGGTTGCATAACATTCTCTCAGACTGAGCGGTCTGATGCATGTGTTCCCCTCAAATAAACCTCAGTAAATATTTGACCATACTCAGGCATGTTAATTATTGATATGAAAAAAGGCCATTCATGGCACTCCTTGTCCTGTTTTTTTCCTCCCCCTCGGTTATCAACAGCAGCCGAGGGAGATAAAAACCTGGCTTCCACACAGCCACTCACTCACGCAGCTCAAGACGCCTGCTGAAGAGAGACATGGTAATGAGTTGTGCCCACCTCCCTCTAACCCTGGCTCAAACTCACTTGGCTCTTCTTCTAAGTCCAGCTGCATTACATAATGTGGGTAAATATTATGATTTGGAACCTGTTAGGGATCGTGCTGAACTTAAGAGGATGGCAGGGGAATGGACGTCATGGACTCGACATTTCCAGATACTTGATAATTATCTCCAAATAATATGGATTAACGTCACACGCGCAGGCTTAAGAAGAAAGTCTGGCTCAATGTTTAGGTCTCAAATGCGAAATTAAAATTATGCTGATTTAACCCTCTACTGCACGCATTATGAGATAAATTAAAAAAATATTCAATCCACTTTTCTTGCATAGAACGATCCGTGATTTATTTTTTTCAAACCCGATTATTAAATACAAAACATTAAAAAAAAAAAAATAAAAATAACGAGTGCAAAATTAACATTATGCTGATTTAACCCTCTACTGCATGCATTATGAGATAAATTAAAAAATATTCAATCCACTTTTCTTGCAAAAAACGATCCATGATTTATTTTTTTCGAGCCTGATTATTAAATACAAAAACATTAAAATAAATAAATAAATAAATAAATAAATAATGTGTGCAAAATTAACACTATGCTGATTTAACCCTTCTACTACACGCATTATGAGATACATTTAAAAAATATTCAATTCACTTTTCTTGCATAAAATCATCCTTGATTTATGTTTTTCGAACCCTGATTATTAAATACAAAAACATAAAATAAATAATGTGTGCAGGGGTCCTTTTAGAGTATGTTGCCTTGAGGCAACATTGTGTGACAATGAGAAGAAATGATAAAGAGCTGTGTTCCCTGAAGTGGTGAGACCTGGCTTGTGACTGGCTAAATCCATTCCACTGTTGTACAGTGTTGCTTCTAGGCAAGAAACACATTTCTGCAAAATCTCCTAACAATAGAAAAGGATCGAATAGAAAAGAACGTTAAAAAACGTTTAAATGCGTCCACTAGGAGATTGTATGACCGAGCACATGCTTTTTATTGACTTACTCAAACTCTTCTCTTTATTGTTAACCCTATCATTGTCTTTAAATATGTATGTTACTGTAAAGTGAGGAAAATGAGTATGTTGCCCTGAGGCAACATCATGCAATAGAGGGTTAAGATATGGAGACAACAGTAGATAACTCACTTATATTCTTGGAAGATGTCATTCACCAAGTCTTGACTAAGTTCTCTTTGAATACTTTTTCAAGATTCTCGCAATCGTCAGATTCAGCCACTCGGGGAAGGGGTCCGAAACACAACTGACATTACAAATTTACAGCTTAGTTGTTCTTATAGAATACTGAATCATTACTGGACGATACTCAAGGTTTCAGTATTGGTATTGGAAAAGAAAAGCATGGTGTCTGCCATCTCTGGTTTAGTGAGACATTTAAATGTTTTTGAAAATGAATGTGTTCTAAATATTTATTTATTGCAACCTGATTGCCATATATATATATATATATATATATATATATATATATATATATATGCAGGCATAACATTATGACCACCTCCTTTTTTCTACCATCATTGTCCATTTTATCAGCTCCACTTACTATATAGGTGCACTTTGAAGTTCTACAGTTACAGACTGTAGTCCATCTGTTTCTCTGCATACTTTGTTAGCCCCCTTTTACCCTGTTCTTCAGTGGTCAGGACCCCCATGGACCCTCACAGAGCAGGTACTATTTGGGTGGTGGATCATTCTCAGCACTGCAGTAACACTGATGTGGTGGTGGTGTGTTAGTGTGTGTTGTGCTGGTATGAGTGGATCAGACACAGCAGTGCTGCTAGAGTTTTTAAACACCTCAGTATCTAACAAAGTATGCAGAGAAACAGATGCACTACAGTCTGTAACTGTAGAACTACAAAGTGACAAGGTGTCGAAACAAAATCTCCAAAATAATAACTTTACAGAGGAAGGAAAAAACCTTCTTTATTTGTAATGTAAGTCAACGGAACCAGACTATTTTCATTTTATTCCATTTCTTTTGGAATTTACATACAATGTAAAGGGCAACAGGCATCACTTCAAAATAAATAAAGACTTCAAGGTAAAAAATAAAAAATCTCACCTTCTTTCCTCATTCCAGCTCTGAAGCACTTTCTCAGCCTGCAGTATCGACACTGATTCCTTTTGTCTTTGTCCACCACACACTGCCTGCTGAACCTACACACATACAGAGACACGCTATAATTCTCACATGTGCAGAGCTATACAGCCATACAGAGTCGACCTGATGAAACACTTCATATGTCACACTCTGAAAATAGGACACGGTTGTGTTGTGGCATGTCCTCTAGCCACCCCTGAACAACTAGAAAATGACATTTCCTCTCATAGTCGAACTGTGAAATCAACCCTCTCTGACACTCACTCATTGCTGGCTTGTGTGCCTGGACAAGTCCTGATCTATTATCGTAATGATTGTTTATTTGACATGATCCTCATCTACATGATACTGAACGACGTAGGGCTACTAGAACAAGTCTTATCATTTAACTTTAACCCAACTTGGATGGCTGCACATCTCTTTCTGTTCACCACATTCAGAAGCACACTGTTAGAAATAACGGTTCTGTTCAGGTACATTTTTCGCTCATTAAGGTACAAACAATGTAAACGTTCTCTCAAAGGTACAACAGTGGTTTTAAGGTCCAGCTGTGCTGCTTAAGTAAGTTTTTCCCCATGTAAAAGTTCGTATTTGTACCTTTTCATAACCGAATGTTTTAAAACAGAACAATAAAAAAGGCTGGAGACGAGACGGGGTGTGAGGAGTCAGTACAGCTTAGAACATATCATTTCAGTGGATTATGGTGCAGTTATATTCCCTGACTAAAGGTACTAAAGGAACCAACCCAGTGACAAGAGGGGCACTGTCCAAGTGACAGTTTAGTCCCTTTATTTCTGAGAGTGTATGTAGTAAACCACACTCACAGGAAAGCACTGTTACTTCCATTAACTAATTCTAGGAGTTACTTCTAATCGATATAGAACATTTACAGGTGGAGGTTCTTTAAACTTTGAAGAGGTTCTTCACCCACACATCTCACTCTCAAAAATAATTCTTAAAAAAAAATCACCCATTTTCACACCCAAGTTCCTGAGGGAGGTAACATTGTTTCTCTATGGCATTACTCTGACCAGCTTTTTGAGATTCATTCACATTTATTTTCAAGAGTGTACATCCAGCTTTAGTTTGCACAGGAATCAAAGTTTGTTAGGTGATATTCTTCTTTGTTTGGGTTATTTAAAGCAGATTTTTTTTCTAAATGTCTGCATAATTAGATTGTTATTATTTATTTACTTACTTACTTACTTATTTTAATTACCTGCAGCTCAAAATGTGTGTGCAAAATGAGCATATATAACATACTAGCACATGTTTAGTGCTTTCTATCAGCCAAAGTCCAAGTATGAAAGTTCTTTGTTCTTTACTGGGCCAAAGTGGAATTTTAAATTTGTAAACGAAAAATCAGTTCTCTATTTAAATAAAACAAATAAAGTCCTACTTTTCAAGTAAGAGGTACATGACTATTTAGCACAATGAGTCATACATATTTTTGCTATAACATTTTGGTAGAGGTATGCAGTTACCTGGCACACCAACATAGACCGGCCTAAATCAAGATAATAAATCAGTAAATTGTGCAATCGTAGTTAATATACAGTCATTGAGAGCGGTTTAGTGTGAAATGCTCTGTTCTAGGGAAACTTATCAAGTCAGAATTGTTCACAGTACTGGTGATAGCAACTAGACATTTGAAGTGTTTAATGCCTCTTAAAGCTACATCACAAAAAAATATTACATGAAATGGTTACAAATACGCTCCCTGATTTCTGAGACATTGCTTTTTGGACAGTCTCGAGAAAATCTTTTGGCCTGAAATGCATTTCACGTAATACATTCATGGCAGAAAGGTACATGCAGGGTGTTGTAAGGCAAAACAGTTCCTAGATAGTCTCAGGTTTACCATAATTTTACTGTTGTACCAATGTATCAACATTACATATAAATAGTAAAAGAATGTCACCTGGTTCCTATCACCACCACTGTAAAGAAATCTGAGTCTCTAACTTTCTCTGCACCATTTCACATAGAACCACTCTGAATGATTGTTTAAATTTCAACCTTTAAATTATAATGAGATTATGAAAAAAAAAAAACATTGAAATTTCCCTTAATAAAATAAAACACTAAGACTTATCTAAGACTTATTAAGACAGAAAATATCCAAAAGCAATTAGGAACACAATGTAAGGGAGTAAAATAGTAGAGTCAATTCATCACAAAAGTAGGCCTGCTCAAGCAAGTACCTGTACTCAATAAACCGGAACAAAACCTTATATCTTCATTTTTGATGTTTTTCAGTTCTTGACATAGTTGAAGAATACCTGTTACCCTTTACATTGTATGTGAATTTCATGATGAATGGACCAAAAGAAATGGGCCAAAATTACTCAGAAAAAAGTCTGGTTCCATAGACTTACATTTAAAGTAAAGTAGGTTTTTTCCTTCTTCTGTAAAGTTACCATTTTGGAGATACAAGTTTTTTTTCCAACAACAGCGAAATGTAAGTAGGGTTGGAACATAACAGAATACAAGTGTTGCGAATATGTAATCAGAATCTGTATTCAGTCCAAGTGACCTTTTTAAAGGCAGTATTCAGAATACAGTTACTTTTTAATTGATTAAAGGAATACTTTTAGAATATTTATCCCCTAAAAATATATAAAAACAATCTTTAAAAAAAAACACCATCACTGTTTATTTATAAATTGTTTTTACATAAGCTCACAGCATGTAAAGACATACTGTAAAGAAGAACTCAAAGGGCTTATTTACACACACTGAAGTTGCCACTAAAGTCTGTGTACACTGATAAATCAATGCAACGAGCCAGCCATTAAACTCAGTGTTACTAAACTCCTCTCAGGGATGATGTTCCCTCGGTAGTGGGCGCAAGTGATAAACTTAGCTTTGGTATTTTACTAGACTTGTGCACGTATTTCACATAACTGCCTACTCAATGGCCAAATTTGTAAGTAAATTTTGTTACAGGAATATGACAAATTGTTTGCCTAATTTCTAAGTTGGATTATGGGAGCAGCAGACCATAAGAGCCAAAATAATGTTGAGTATTTTGCAACTTAATTTAAATAAATGAATTAACAGAAGAACTACATGAAGAAAACTGCCAACCAGTAACAATGAGAAACAGTGTTAATTAAATAAAAATTACAACAGCAGAGTTTTTCGCATGTGCACTATCAAAGTGTACTCTAAAGGCTCCTGAATGATACTTTTTTATGTGTTGTAATAGAATACATTATTAAATACATTTAGGCCCAATCCCGTTTCCTATTTTCACCCCTAGCCCTTGTTTTTGAGTGTCACCTTGCACCTTGGAACAGAGTTATAAGGGGTAGTAGTTAAAATCTTCCTCTATGAAATGGAACAACCCTCAAATAAAAAAACAACATTACTGCATTAACAGCTACCTAGGCTCTGTAGGCGACCCTGCCAGTCTGCAGTGACAGCAGAGGAGGGTAAAGTTCAGCTCCTCACTGCTGGGCTTTAGTTACATTTAGGGCATCATATGCTTTCAAAGAGGGGGGCAATTATTTATTATCACCCATCCCTAATTCTTCAGTGATATGAAGGTGAAGTCAGATATTCACCAGATTCTTGTTCGAATTTTCCAGTTCCACCTTAAATGAAGCAGCAATTACATTCTGGCGCTTCAGGCGTCAGAACTGCTGGACTATTTAAGGTGGAACGGGTAATTTATCTAGCTAGCTACCGAGACATCAGCATACTACTAGTGATTTTAATGCTTGTTATGAAGAAATGGGCCATAATACATTGAAACGTCATTAAACTAAGATAATACAATAGTAATCGTAATTTTTAATGGAGAAAATTCTCACATTTTTGGGTTTCTCTTATCACTTGTGCAGCCATCTCTATGTTGTTTTCCTAACACTCTGCTTGGACTGTGACTCTGAAAAACCTCCATTTGGAGGGTCATGTAGCCCTAACACTTCGCCCTACCCCTCTATCTCAACAAGAATTGGGACACCCTGCCCCTAGACGTGAACGCACAAAACTAAGTGGGAGGGGCTAATCACTACTGTTTTAAAGTATTCTGCCCAACTATTTACTCTGATTACTACTCAAATTATTTTGATCTTTAGAATGTATGTATATATATATATATATATATATATATATATATATATATATATATATATACATACACACACTAGAATCCCATTCCTGCCCTGTTCTCACCTGCATGTATAAGCGTGGTTCTTGCGGACGCTCCGCCTGAAGAAGCCTTTGCACCCATCGCAGCTGTTTGCGCCGTAGTGTTTCCCGGTGGCCTTATCGGCGCAGATGGAGCAGAGAGCGCCGCTGGCCTGCTGCAGTCCGGCCGTCCCCTGCAGGTGAAGACTCAGACAGCAGTGGTTCTGCAATGTGGTGAAAAAAGGCCAGTGTGAGATGTGCTGAGCTTGATAGCCACCAGCGTTCCTATGCAGCGTTTGTTATATACACTAACTAGCTTTGTTGTTTTATTTACATATCTTTGGTGAATGCTGGACGGTGTCTAGTGGGCGTTTTCTTTGGTTCAGCAGAGCTAAAATTAGCACTAGACATCAACCTTGGGCCTATTGGTAACTCTTGGATTTTTTTTTCTATAACATCATTTATTTCTATACATTCTGTTTTTAATATTTCTCTTTTGCAGTTAATGATTGTTTTTTTTTCTTTTTTTTTTCCTACAACTCAAGTTTAAAAGCTCTTAAAAAATATAACAGCAGTGCTAAAATGTTTTATGCTGTTCTGTGTTCAGAAAATGAATGTATTCTTTTACACTAAAATGTTGCTCAAATGCTCCATATCAACCCATTCATTTTGGACTTGCTTGGGAGCGCCCTCTAGTGTTTGAGAAACCCAGAAGACATTGCATAGTGGTAGTTCTCCTCTCTACAAGTTCTCTGCCACAATGTCGTATTTACTAGTGGGAAACTCACTGGGCCCTTTTCACAAAGAGTCATGATTACTTAGGGTTTAAGCATTAAGCAGGGTAAAACTAACTTCCGCTTCATACAACTACTGCAGAAGCGATGTCAAAATGATATAGTAGTGTACTATAATGCTCAAATAATGAGCTACAACAGGCAAGATATGTTAGTCTTTGTGAGAATAAGAAGTGGATCGAAGCCCTGATTTAACTTTAAACAGAGCTAAAATGCTGTATATGTTGGATCGCCCTTGTTTTTACTGCAGTCTGCTGCAGCTGCCTCACATCAAGCAGTCTCTGTGTCTTTGTACAACATGCCAGCGATTTCTGTAATATTTCTGTTTTTAAAAGAAAGAAGAATTGTTATAGGTAGCATGAACCTGATGGACTCATATAATCTAGCTACGCTGGCTAGAAGCCAGCTATTGGCTATTGCTAACAGTACATATTATTCCAAACTAGATTACCCGGCTAACATAAAGCAGCTTTCTAAATCACCAGTTAATTTTGTACTCATCTTTAAAAAGCCAATGCAGGCAATAAACCGTCAATGAAGTAATTCTTACATGATCAGCTTGGTACAAACAGCTAACGTTAGCTGGCACATTATGGCGGAGATGTTACGTGGCTCTTCCCAGATCACAAACAACTAGCTGGCTGTATAAGAAAATGGAAATCAAAATGTCAGAGCATAACCGCAATGCTAAGATACAAGTTAGCTAGGAGTCTCGTTTGTGATTGAGATTGAGTGAAAGGTTGATGTTATCCAAAGAACTGCTTCAAAAATCAAAAATTTATATTTGAACTCTTTAACGACCTTGTAACTCAGGGGATCCCATGATATTCAAGAGAAAAATGTTCACAGGACAAAACGTATCGGGTTCTGAACATTTTTATTTAACACTGGAGCGATAGAGGTGATTTTTTGAAAACCCTATTCATTCTGGCCATAGACCACTGTGGTCGTGCGTCATTCTGTAGTCCTCGTTATGCCCATATTAAGGACTCTGGGTCTGAGCTCCATTTCTCTATGGCCAGAATGAATAGGGTTTTCGAAAAATCGCCTCTATCGCCCCCTGTGTTAAATAAAAATGTTCACGTTTTGTCCTGTGAACATTTTTCTCCTGAACACCACTGGATCCTCTGAATTACGAGGTCGTTAAAGAGCTATAATACTAATATTGCTACATGTGAGCTAAAGCTACTGCGCATCAATTTGATGTCACTAAGCTACACAAAACTAAGGCGGGCTGTGGCGCTGCTCTGACGAGCTGTGCTACCTTATCGAAATGTTCTACTGTCATGTATATTTACGGGTATGCCAGTAAATAACACCTGTGGGTAGAATATTTTCATAGGCTAAAACTCCTTATCAAAAGTACTACCTGTGTTAAAACTACGAGGCTGAATTAGCTTTTTTTTCGCAGTTTCCTGTTTGAATGTTCCTGTCCCACCTTAAATTGTGCAGCAGCTGTGACTAGCTATCACAAACATTAGCAAACGAGACAAAATACTGACCTGTCGGTTCTGTGAAACAGCAAAAATAAGTTAATGTTACTCAGTTAAGTGGAAATAGAGAAACCTCCTCATATCAGGCCTTTCAGCCCTCCATGAAGCTGAACTCAGCTTCTTTTTAGTCGGCTGCTTGTTCGAATTTCCCTGTATGGCACAGCAGTTCAGAACGTGACTGTTGCACCATTTAAGGTGGAACGGGGAAAAGTCGAACAAAAAAAGCTGGCGAATGTCCTGAGAAGATGTCCACAGAAAAATCTTACCAGCATTAAACTAATAATTAGGATATTCTGAGAGCTGAAATCAGTTTATCAGGGGGTGATAACCTGCTTAAGGGGGCTGTCAGTCTAATGACGTGAACTCAGTGCACAGTAGCTTTAGCTCACATGTAGCAGTATTCATATTTCAACTCTTTAACGACCTTGTAATTCAGAGGATCCAGTGTTATTTGAGAGGCGAATGCTCACAGGACAAAATGTATCGGGTTCTGAACATTTTTATTTAACACAGGGGGCGCTAGAGGCGATTTTTCAGAAACCCTATTCATTCTGGCCATAGCGAAATGGAGCTTAGACCCGGAGTCCCTAATATGGGTTTAAAAGCATGGCGCCGACTACAAAATGACCACAGGACTATAGTTGTCTATTGGTTTTTTGCTGACGCTCTCCCAACTCGGAAACCCAGGGCTCTTTTATACTTTTATATGTAGTATGAATATGGTAGACCTTGTTTAGATGTAGCTAGCTACGCGAGAAGCCATTGCTAACTGTAGCTGTATTCCCAAAGAAGGAAGCTAACCTAGCTTTCAAGAGCTGCTGGCACCAGCTGGCTAACGTGGAGCAGATTCTGTGACACATTTACAGCATGCCAGCGATTTCTGTGACATAAACGCAAACCAAAAACTTTTATATGTTAAGTCTATTTGACAGACTTCGTTTAAATTATCTTTTAGCTTATGGTAGGCTAGGGACTACAGGCTCTAATTAGCTAGCCCACCATTAGCAGTTTAAGCATAGATATCCAAACCTAGATGCTGTGTTGAGGCGATATGTTTGTGCGTCCGCCATGTTGGAGCGGTCAAGATCCGCTGTGAACGAATTCACTTCTACTGAGAGACGATGAGTCTCAGGATTAAATCGGCCACAACTTCCTTATTACTCAACCGATTTTCACTAAAATTTGTTTCGTTATAATCCTCAGATACAGATTAATCTAGGTTGCCCGGATCTGCTCTCGGTAGCTTTTATTTCTTTAATAACTGATCGTGCTAATTAGCCACCCGGACCAGCAGGAAAGTATTCAGTCTGAACCTGACGTGAGTTTAGCGCGAGCTCCTGTAAAAACACTTGTGTGAATCACTTCTAATCTTCATACTCAGGAGTACGGAGCTAAAGTTGGCGTCCTATTCGCCAGCTTCGTGTTCGAGTTTTCCCGTTCCACCTTAAATGGTGCCGCAGTCACTTTCTGGTGCCTGAAGCTGCACTGTTTAAGGTGGAACGGGTTAAGGAATGCTATAACTACAAGAATTAACCATCATTGTAAATAAATATACATAAAGTTAAGATCATCTAAATAGACAATTAAATGAAATAAGCTTAGTAGAAAACCAGAGGAAAAACAATCACATCAACAGGTTCTCTGTGCCTCACCAACAACACGGCCATATCAACATAAACATCACACAAACAATACGCATCACACACACATGAGTGTGGATCGCTGTGTTCCCTCAGTTATATAATCCTATCCCACTTTCTGAGTGTAATATTCTTGAAATAGTGTAATTTTGGACAGTATCTCTCTTAAACTGCCGCTATGTAATGGTACAGAATGCAGTCCAGCAGCGATGTTGACCGCCCCAAAATGGCGGCGCCGTTGACGTGCCTGGCTGGACCCAACGCGGCATCTAGGTGTGTATACCTATGAAGGCAACACGAACATCGTCGCGCGGACGTTTACGTCAGCATTTGCCGCCAAAAATAAAACGCGTCACTGAACGGTTCGAAATGATGGTGCAGAATCGTGGCGTACAGTTTTGACGACTGATGTTAGTCGAAATGCTGTGAAAGTGAAACTCAGAAATGCCGCAGAACAACACAGAAAACGCGCTGCCTTCCGAGAGGTACCTTAAAGATGTTTTATTTTCGTTTTCTTCGTTTTTCAGACATCACCAGATATGTTGTGGTTTTCAGTGGTCTGGTCGTGAACTTGAGGATTAAGGAACTGGGTCTAAACAAGCTCCATTTAGCTGTTAGCCTCGTCTTCTTGTCGCAAAACTGGGGAAATTACTGAAAGTAATTCACTCCAGAATTATTACTTAGCAGACTTGTGAAAATGACAGACATGGGAGATTTGTATTGGATTTAAACCACAAATCTTGTTGGTAATCATTAAATTACAGCACCTCCTGAGGTAAAACTTGTCCAGCTCGAACAGGGTTTTAGAGTCAACCGCCCTCAGGAAATGGCGGGAAGAAGCAGCTCGCGGAACAGACCACTGTAGTCGTGTCTTCATTTTGTAGTTATGCCCATATTAGGAACTCTGGGTCTAAGCTCCATTTCTCTATGGCCAGAATGAATAGGGTTTCCGAAAAATCGCCTCTATCGCCCCCTGTGTTAAATAAAAATGTTCAGAACCCGGTACGTTTTGTCCTGTAAACATTTTTCTCTCGAATAACACTGGATCCTCTGAATTACAAGGTCGTTAAAGAGTTGAAATGTGAATACTGCTACATGTGAGCTAAAGCTACTGTGCGCTGAGTTCACGTCATTAGACTGACAGCCCCCTTAAGCAGGTTATCACCCCCTGATAAACTGATTTCAGCTCTCAGAATATCCTAATTATTAGTTTAATGCTGGTAACATTTTTCTGAGGACATTTTCTCAGGACATTCGCCAGCTTTTTGTTGGACTTTTCCTGTTCCACCTTAAATGGTGCAGCAGTCACATTCTGAACTGCTGTGGAATTTAAGGTGGAACGGGAAAATTCGAACAAGCAGGCGGCTAAAAAGAAGCTGACTTCAGCTTCATGGAGGGTTGAAAGGCCACTGGTATTTGGGAGAAAAATGTCTTTAACGGCCTCATAATTCAGAGGATCCAGTGTTATTCGAGAGGAGAATGTTCACAGGACAAAACGTATCGGGTTCTGAACATTTGTGTTTAACACAGGGGGCGCTAGAGGCGATTTTTCAAAAACCCTATTCATTCTGGCCATAGAGAAATGGAGCTCAGACCCGGAGTTCCTAATATGGGTATAACGAGGACTACAGAATGGTTTGACTGCAGAGCCGCAGTTTCACTCCAGCAGGTTCAAGCCAGTGGCATTCAGCGCATGCGCCGACCCTTGTGTTTTTTTCTTAGCGAATTTTAGGATAATCAACATTACAGTCGTTTTATGAGGGTTTCCAATAAATTTGCATTGGGCTAACGTTATATTTTAAGCTTGAGACTAAAACTAACTTTGGTTTGAGCGCATATAGAGATTCATGTGGTAAATACTACATGAACTACAGCTGATGTGTCTCTGGGTAAACTAATGGGTTATGTAGACATACAGCTCAGTTAACTTACCCTTAATACAAGGGCTTTATGTGTACACTTACATTACATGCACAGGAATAAAACTACCTTAAGCAGCTTAAACTGAGCATAGTGTTAAGCTTTACGCTAAAAAACAAACTTTAGTTTTTTAACGTGTCCTTGCTGAAAGTGTTTCTTCTGGTTTCTGATGGTTTTGTAAAGTGTTTTGGTTGATGGTTTAACCGGTTTCCAATGGCTGATTCGTATATGAACAACTTCCTGAAGGGTAATATGCATGGCGACATATACAACCAGCACAAACAGTCACTGTTTACATCAGAGACGTTATAAATGAGGAGACCGGCCACTGGCTGAAATATGAATGAGAACACTCAACTTTCTACAGCGGCGTTTTAGGGCCACTGATAATGAAAATAAAAATAGTAGACTTCGAGAATGGTGTTGTACTATTTCGAGAAAAATGTTGTAATATTGTAGTCAAAGGCTTTGCAAAAGGAACGCAGCACCTCCTCGTGTTAAATGAGGGGCGGTGAGTTGGTGGAGTTCTACTTTCATATCGATTCACCCATAAAGAAACACTCAGGCTCCCTGTCTCTCCTGCACATCAGCACCAGCCTGTTATTAGTATAAGAAATGGCTGAAACGGCTGAGCAGGAAACTGTGTTTATCTAGAATAAAGAGCCAGACGGACTCGGAGGAAACTGTCTGTCTGTGTTGTTGAAGGAGAATCTCAGGCAGGGTCGTCTACACGGCTATCGGGGGCTGCATCTACCCCCCATTCAAAGAGGGCATGAAGTTTCACAGACAGTGAGAATGATGATCAAAATGATCCACAGAGAGACAGGAGTGAGTGGAACTCTGGCGCCAGTACAGCAACCGAGACCCCAACGCGTTATAGAAGCCCCCCTACAGTTAGCCCCTCTACAGTTAGCCCACTTGATCCTCCAAATATTATGACTTTTTTTCTCGCAATATTACGACTTTAATCTCTAAAAGTCTACTATTTTTATTTTTATTAACAGTGGCCCTAAAACACCGTCGTAACTTTCCTATAAGGACTTTTACATGACACAATTGCGCTTTCATACTGCGCATGCGTTCCACTGGCATGAAACTGTGGGTGTAAATCTGTGGCTCTGCAGCCAGACATTATTGATAGTATTGATAATTAATGATAGTAAGAATGAACTGAAGACATAAGTGAAGGCGTCTGCTCCCCCTTTCAGTGAAGCCGCACGACAGTGTCAAACAAAAATCTATTGACCAAGTTGTCTTTTCTGCGGAGAGGGCTGGCAATAAAACAGCGTTCAGCTCAGAGAGCCTTCACCGGCAGCCATGCTGCTAGACCCAGGCCTCTGAGGCACCGCTAGTTATTACTTGGAGAAAGAAGAAACTCCCCATTTAATTAAACCAGTTACAGGTCAGTGGAAAGCTGAGGTCTGCAGCCATTTTCAGGCTAATTTTGTGCTGCTAGCTCTGTTTTAATTCAATCTCCTTATGTGTTGTAGGGTATTAAATTGCTCTCCTCCAGTATTCGATCTCGTCAGGATTGCTTCACATTGCTAAGGCAGTGACCATCAAATCCACTCTCCATGCAGGCCAGGCACAGTGGGGACAATGGCTATACGGCCTAATGTATGTAAATTACACACTTAGAGTTTGGAAATTTAGCAGCGAGGGGTTACACTTTTGTGTCTTGAATGCAGGCTTTGGGTTCAGAGGGCAGTTGTATTGAATTAAGAGATTACAATGCATCTGCCACCCAGCTCGCTGTGCTATGAAAGGAGCGCTGCCGGTGGACGCATCTTCCAAAGTGCCAGAGTGCCCCTGATTCAGCAGAACAGGCTCCTAATGATTACAGAAAATGAGATTAAGTAGGAGAGCATGAACACAGAGGAGTGATTGGGTCTCCTTTTTAAAAGTCAGAGCAAGAAACTTCATTTCTGATCACCTGCATCAGGACAAAAATGGCCAAACTCTTCCCAAATGTGAAAGAATTTTAAATTTAAGAGCAGTTAAGCACATGTCTTGGCTACGGTCTCAAAGACGTCAAACTCCCCACCGGTGGGCCGTCAGAGTGCCTTGAAACACAAACCTTTAGTGCTTGTCTGCAGTCTTGTGTGTGTGTTTAACTCATATGTGATATCACTCAATTGAAACCGCCCCCCTGAGAGAACTGCAAAGCTGCTTTCAGTAATGCATCTCCTGAACTGTAAAATCAAAGGAATCTGAGAGGTTCATTGTGATCTTTGATTTGTGATGTTGGCTTGGTGTATTTGGTTGATTGGACGCATATGATGGAAATCTCTATGCATGTTAAACCAAGAATAAAGCCATAATATTTCAAGAAAAAAGTTGTAATATTTTGAGAAAAAAGTTGTACGTTTTCGAGAATATAGTCGTAATATTCCAAGAATAAAGTCGTACTATTTGGAGGATAAAGTGGGCTAACTGTAGGCCGCTTCCATAACGCGTTAACGTCTCGGCTGCTGTACTGGTGCCGGCGTTCCACACTCCTGTCTCTTTGTTGATCGATCATTTTGATCATCATTCTCACTGTCTGTGAAACTTCATGCCCTCTCTGAATGGGGGGAGATGGAGCCCCGATAGCCGTGTAGACGACCCTGCCTGAGATTCTCCTTCAACAAAACAGACAGACAGTTTCCTCCGAGTCCGTCTGGCTCTTTATTCTAGATAAACACAGTTTCCTGCTCAGCCGTTTCAGCCGGTTCTTATACTAATAACAGGCTGGTGCTGATGTGCAGGAGAGACAGGAAGACTGAGTGTTTCTTTATGGGTGAATCGATATGAAAACTCCACCAACTCACCGCCCCTCATTTAACATGAGGAGGTGCTGCGTTCCTTTTGCAAAGCCTTTTCTTTCCTGGTATTAATGCCACTTTAATGTCGAAATTCTACAACTTTTTTTTTTTTTAAATATTACAGATTTTTTTCTCGAAATATTAAGACTTTTTTTCTCGAAATATTACGACTTTATTCTTGAAATATCATACCGTATAACGTTTTTCTCAAAATATTATGACTTTTTTCTTGAAATATTACAACTTTATTCTCGAAGTCTGCTATTTTTATTTTTATTAACAGTGGCCCTAAAACACTGTCGTAGTATTGAGACATGGTGGACTGCTTGTCGTAAATTATCACACCTACCTGTGACCACTGGCAGCACTCTCAGACTATCGAACTCCAGCATGGTGTAGCTTGGGTCCAAGCTCACAGCATAGTCAGTTGTGCCCAGATCCAGTGCACCTTCAGAGATCTTCATGGTATCGTGATCCTAACCCAGGCTGGATGGATGTGGCCTAGCTCTTTGCTTTGTTGAGACACTGAGACAGCCTAAACAGCACCACCTAATGTCCACCAAGGCCTTCTCACTCAGGTCATTCCTATTATTCTTCAAAATCACCAGGCTTTCAGTTCAGGCGACTCAAGATCCTTTAGGCTGCGTTGGTATTTATGTCTAAAAGACCTTTGGATTGGAACATCAATGCTTTCTTTCCTCTCTCTGCTGATAATCTGTCGCGTCTGATCACAAACCGGGGCTTCCAGACTTTCTTAAAACTGTCTCATATTCTTCTTTTAACTGTTCTCTATCCTTCAAACTGTTCTGTGTCAAGTTGGAGCGAGAGAAGCTGAGATTTGCTGTGCTATCAGTCTGTTTGCTGTGCTCTTATCAGTGTGGAGGGAATCATAAAGGGGAGGGCTCAGGCAAGTAAACATGATTCACTCAGCAATAGAAAACAACACTATTGTCACAGTTTACAGCACAGTTGTGTTTTACAGCTTCACAGCGATGGTTCGATGCATCTAGGCCTCAAATTTAGATGTACGCTCTGTGTTTGGTCTGCCAGCATAGCATTTGCCTGTTCTTCGTCTGTGCCTTCGCATAAATGAAGATTTTTGCTGTGGCCACTAGAGGCAGTGTTATGTCCCATTGGTGGTTTGTTTTTGCTGGCTGTTTGCCTGTTGTTTTGTGTGACGAAGCAAGAGCTTTCCGTTCACCTTTGCCCTGCAGTGTGTTTGCTATCAGGAAGTATTGATTAAAGGCAAAATGATAACGTGCCGTTGCATGATGTCCCTTCTCTTGCATTTCATTCAAATAGATTGCACAATCGAGAACACAGCTGTAAGCACAAATGTAGCATAGAGTTGGTTGTTTTCAGTACCAGGCTCTTTCATTAGGTGTTTGCCCGTATTCAGAATAATGTATTGTCAAATTTATCAGTTCAAGCTTTTAAAAAATGTCTCTGACTATAAATTCAGGCGAAGATAAACTTCCATGATCTATGCAGCATTCCTCAATGGCTCTGTCACAGTTATTAGAGATGCGTTCCCTGAGTTATGAGAGTGGCTTCTGAACAGTGTGGTGGTCAGTTGAGTCCAAAAAAGGAAGAGCTGGCTTATTAATGTCCTTCATTTTTAAGAGCATAAATTCCCAGACATCTATAAATTTGTCTGGGTCAAAGAAGGGAAAGCCGGAGAACGCAGGCCAACTCTTTTCTATTTTTTTTCTGATCTTAAGATATCTGTCCTTATGGAGAACAAACAAGGCTACTTTTCACATGCTGTGTAAGTGGGCCTACTTTATAAGTTGTTCCCATTATACTGTTAGACATGCATTCGTATCTGTAATCAGAATAGTATACTGTATAGGCTAATTGCCATATATATATATATATATATATATATATATATATATATATATATATATATATATAAGAGAAAATGTAATAGGGAAAGAAGGATAGAAGGTAGAAAGAAAACAGGGTGACCATATCATTTTTACAAATTATAACAAATTATATACCGGGCTACATATCAGCTTTTTTGGAGCAATATCCATCATGCTTTGCAGTAATGGGCTTTGCTGGGTGAGCGGCACTCCCTCCCTGAATGTCACGCTAGGCCGCGGGTCAGACCTCCCCCGGCACACGCTTGCACGCGGGCTCCGCTTTAGGTGATTGATGGCTCATAAAAACCTGTCCGTCACAGCACAGCGTGAGCAGTTTTCCATAGTCTCTCATCAAATTATACCTGGCTCAGGTTGGAAAAAAGCTTTTAAAATATGTACCATTCTGATATTAAAATATTTTTAGGGAAAAGAGTTCAACTGTATATATTCTAAATACTATTTGTCATTGGTGGATGTTATCTTTGTGATGCAGTTGACTGATTTTGTGCTTTCAGGTATTTTAGGGCTGTAGAGAACGATTCAAAAGAACAAAGAACAGACTGGGTTTCTTTTATTCTGCTTCAGATATCCCAGGTGATTAGTTTTTGTAAAAGACCACTAGGAGGAGACAAAGTACAGCGTATAGGCGAGTGCCTCTCTTCCACTTTTATGGACCTTCATCTGGACAGCAAATCGGACAACATCTGCATACCTTTCCTCACAAGGACTCTATAAAACGTGCAAACTGACGGACACAAATGTTTGAAAAGTCAGCACTCTGTACTAGTCCTACAGTGGCCGGGTTCAAATGACTGAAACACCTGGCTCAAAGCTGAGTGGGTGAGAATAGCCATCTATGAGGTGAAAGTCTTTCTGTCAGTGAGGCTAAATTTACTCTTTACAGGTGCACTGGAGGCAGCTCTACCTGTCTGTCTGCATGGGCTGATTGATGAGGAATGGACGGCCGTATTTCAGAGCCAGGGCTTTGGCAGTTTGAAAAGGCCAAGTGTGGAGCGCAGCAGAGTCGGTCTTGGCCACCGTTCAGTGCCGTCACACGTTTGCCCGTAATGCTCGTTGGGCTATTAACCAAACATAAATAAATAATGTCACTGGCACGTCTTAGCAAGTTCGGGCCTGAGACTTTTAGCGGTGCATTTCTAATTTCCTCGTCAGGGGAAGTCAAATGAAATTAGCGTTTGAACTGAATTATTTGCTTGGATGGCCCACGCTCTCTAATGTTCCGGGCACTCACACGTAGGGTGAGCGTGCACACAACTCCGGAGAGTGCTCCCAATGTCCAGGGTGAAGGCAGATGAAAAGGGTGATGTGTGGTTTAAGCTGTGCCACAGAAAAAGCCAAATACAAATTATATTGCCATTACTGGAACTTTCTTTGGTCTTCTTCAGATCTGATGATTTCAATCAGCTTTCTTTTTCTTAATATTGCTCAAATGCTGATATGATCTCTCTTCTTATTTTCATTTCTTCTTCAAAACTGTCCTTTCTTTCAGGTTTACTGGGCAGATGGTCGGCTCTGTGAGGGAGACGGTGTGGGGATGAGAATCTGAAGGAGAGCCTGCATGAAATGAATCACAGGAGATGGAGGAGAGGCGCACTGCTTATTTCACCTGCAGCAAGGCTCGCTATAGTTACAGGTAATAAGGTGCTAGATAGTATCATTATATTGAAGGGATATGAGGGGTGAAAGTACTGTATCATCTACTGTATTACCTCCATGCTGTACACTTTATGTAGTCTCCACAAAATGCATTTTCATGAAAAGCAATAACTGAAATAATGTACTGTATCATTACTCCTGTAGTACCCTAATGGATAAATCTGAGCATAAAAATAGAGGGCCCGGGGCGGCGGGACAGGAATTGCTTTTGTGGCATTCAAGGACAAAGATCCTGTAACATTACTATTTTTTCTTACAACACAATCTAGCAAATATACTAATTATCAGAAAGTACACAGGCTGCAACTTTCTACAGGATCAAGGAAGGGTTTATTTACAGTGTTTGTTTGGTAACACTTTACTGTAGGGTGCTGTTCATGAGGCTACATGACACCTACATAAGCTTGTCTTGACAGCTGACATAACCCTACATAACATTACTGTACATAACAACCTGTAGCATGACTAATGTAACATAACATATACATAACATCCTGTATTATTACTATTTTTTACAACACAATCTAGCAAATATACTAATTATCAAACAGTACACCTACATAAGCTTGTCTTGACAGCTGACATAACCCTACATAAATAGTTATAAATGCTTATTACAGTAGGTGTCATCTGTCATAAACACTTCTTTAGCTAACTTTGATCAAAACTGGCTAATGTCACCTTTATAACGAATTATGCCTACTGGAATAAGTATATATGAACATTTATGTAGGGTTCTGTCAGTTGATATGACAAGCTTATGTAGGTGTCATGTAGCCTTATGGACAGTGCCCTAGTCTTCAAACCACAGTGCGCTCTTTGTATGACCGTGAGCAAGCAGTTAAAATGTTAGTGGAGGGGGGATCTTGTCTGTATTGATAAGCATTCTGTTGTCTGATAACTCCGTACAGAAGGCCTCCTCTGAGACCTCCATGTTCTCGATCAGAAAAAAAAAATGCAAAGTACAGTCTTTGTAGTTTTATTCCAAAAGAGGCGGCGGATTAAGAAAAAAAAAGCAGCAAAGATTGGTTATAAAAGCATGGCAGGCGTATGATTTAGTGGGGCAATAAAGAATGGAAAGGTAGCCATTCATCATGGAAGCGGGCTCACCAGGAGAGGGGCCTGTCACAGACACCGCCAAGTCCGGGAGGTGGTTCGAAAATCGCCCCCCAAAACTGGCTCAGACCAATGGGTTTAACATACATCCCCACATGGAGAGGAGCATGCTGGGAGAACTCCGAACTGTCCTCCATGCTGCGTGGTCATCAAGGAAACTGGCATTACAGATGGACAAAGTAGTAGTGTAAGCCTGGTAGTTATGAGGAGCTGAAATTTGCAGCGGTTTGATGAATACCCTCACGTTTACGCTTGCTTTACTGTCCTTGAGCGGCAAAGGCCATAAAAATGAGTTAACTAGATATAAACCTTGCTGAGATACCGGCATGATGACAATCTCTCTCTTAAATTTCAACAAAGAAATCTGAACATGAATTAACTGCAGTACTGTGCAGAAGATAGAGACCACTCCTTATTTATTTATTTAATTTATGGTCAAACAAGGCCATTAAGTAGAAGTTATTCATTTTTCAGTGTCTGGGGAAAAAACAGGAAACATATGTTTTCACAGAAAATTACACAGTAGCTTCAACAACTAAATATATATATATATATATTTCCAGTATTTAATGGGTTCTTTGTTTGCCTTTGTTACAGCTTCTATTCTTTTTGGCAGACTTGCTTTCAGCTTTGAAAGAAATCTGCAGGGATTTTTTTCCACACCTCCAAAGTTCAGCCTTAGAGCTTCTGATTCTCACAGTCTGAGCAATCAAAAACACATTTAATGATGCTGAGGTCTGAACTCTGGTGGGGCCTGTCAGGCCCACAGTGTTGAGTTGACTTCTCACATAGGAGGGATGGACAGAAACACCTGTGGATTGTTTATTTAGATATAAAGAAATACCTTGATTTTGTCCTCAAACATGAAAACTTTAAACGACAGTTTTGGTGGTCTATAAGATCTTACATGGTTGTTAGGAGTCCCATTTTCTCTATTAAAAAAAAAAAAACCTCCAATTTTGGAATCTTTTTTCACTTATTTTCCTTTGACTTTCTCCCTCCTTAAGCAAGTGGATGATAAATCCATCCTTAAATCTAGTCTGCTCAGAAATATCTTCTGAAAAATTAACAACTAACTTGTACATAATGCCTGTTTGTTTGGAAATTAAATAGAGGTGGCCTCTGACTTTTGCACAGAAGCGTGTATCTAATAGTAAAAATGCTGTAAATCGCATAACACCTAACTAAAAAGAAAACAATCATAA